TTTTACAACCTGACCATAGTTTCCTCTCCCTCCTTTCCTCCCAGTCCCTCCCTGCAACCTCTCTTCTGCTCTCTTCCTACTCCTCCTCCATTTCTGTTTAAAAAAGATGGGCCTTGGGGCTGGAGAGATGGCTCAGTGGTTAAGAGCATTGCCTGCTCTTCCAAAGGTCCTGAGTTCAATTCCCAGCAACCACATGGTGGCTCACAACCATCTGTAATGAGGTCTGGTGCCCTCTTCTGGCCTGCAGACATACACACAAACAGACTATTGTATAGATAATAAATAAATAAAATATTTAAAAAAAAAAAAGATGGGCCTTCCATGAATATCAACCAAACATGGCTTATCAAGTAGCAGTAAGACTAAGCACCTCAAAAAAAGGTGTGTGTGGGGGAACTGAAGAGATGGCTCAGTGGTAAGCACTGACTGCTCTTCCAGAGGTCCTGGGTTTAATTCCCAGCACCCACATGGCAGCTCACAGCTGTCTATAACTTCAGTCCAGGGAATCATACCAATGTACATAAAAAAAAGGCATTAAAAAAAAAGCCCCCCCCCCCACATTAAGGTTGACAAGGCATCCCAGTATGGAGAAATAGATTCCAAAAGCCAACAAGAGAGTCAGAGTCAGAGCTGGGCCTTGTGATAGTGCACATTTCTAATCCCATCACTCAGGAGGCAGAGGCAGGTGAATCTCTGTGAGTTCCACAACAGATAGTGAAACCCTTCCTTGAAACACCAAAAAAAGAAAAAAAAAAGGAAAAAAGGTCAGAGACAGACCCTCCCCTGCTCCCACTGTTAGGTATCCCACAAGTAGATCAAGTTACATACCTATAACATATGCAGAGTGTCTAGGTCAGTCCTATGCAGGCTCCCTGGTGGGCGGTTCAGTCTCTGTGAGCCCGCCCCTATGAGCCCAAGTTAGTTGATGCTGTAGGTTTTCTTTTCTTTCTTTCTTTCTTTTTTTTTTTTTTTTTTAATTTTCGAGTCAGGGTTCCTCCTTAGCTTTTGGTTCCTGTCCTGAAACTAGCTCTTGTAGACCAGGCTGGCCTCGAACTCACAGAGATCCGCCTGCCTCTGCCTCCCGAATGCTGGGATTAAAGGCATGCGCCACCACCGCCCGGCTGCTGTAGGTTTTCTTGTGGTATCCTTTACTGCTCTGGCTCCTACAATTCTTACTCCCCCCTCTTCTACAGCTCCACCCAATGTTTGGCTGTGGGTCTCTGCATCTGTTTCCATCAGTTGCTGGATTAAGCCTCTCTGATGACAATTGGGCTAGGCACTGATCTATGAGTTTGGCAGAATCTCATTAGGCATCATTACATTGACCTTTTTTTGTTTTGTTTTGTTTTTGGCGTTCAGGTAGTCAGGGATGGGCTCCTTCTTGTGGCATGGGATTCAGGCTGGGCCAGTCATTGGTTGGTCACTCTCACAACGTCTGCGCAGCCTTTATTCCAGCACATCTTGTAGGCATAACAAATTGTAGGTCAAAGGTTACGTGGCTAAGTATGGTGAGTTCTTGATCTTAAGTTTAGATTCTACTTTGGACAATAATAGAAGACTAGTGCAAGGAAGAACACACACATCAGGGTAAACAGAAACTGGTATGTTAAAGCTGAATAGAAATGTCCCAGCAGCAGTTTGCAAAGTCAGAGTTGATTCATGCTGCATTTATTTTACCTTGAAAAGACAGAAAGCACCTGATGGTGACCCTGTAGTATAACAGATGAAAATGTCCTTTTTTTATTAATTAAATTATTTATTTTTGGTTTTTCGAGACAGGGTTTCTCCGTAGCTTTGGAACCTGCCCTGGAACTAGCTCTTATAGATCAGGCTGGCCTCAAACTCAGAGTTCCACCTGCCTCTGCCTCCTGAGTGCTGGGATTAAAGGCGTGCGCCACCACTGCCCGCCTGAAAATGTCTTTTAAAGATGCTTTTTGTAGCCGGGTGGTGGTGGCGAACGCCTTTAATCCCAGCACTTGGGAGGCAGAGGCAGGCATATCTCTGTGAGTGAGACCAGACTGGTCTACAAGAGCTAGTTCCAGGACAGGCTCCAAAACCACAGAGAAACCCTGTCTCGAAAAATAAAAAAAAAAAAAAATAATCATGGTTTGAGATTTTGTCTAGTTATATAATAAGAATATAGAGTTTTGAGCACGTAAATAGAAAATTATTAAGACGGTGGAAATATGTCAAATTGGTAGTTGATTTGGTATTTAATTATCTAAAACATCTAAGTCCTGTTCTGTGTGGTGCTGACATTAGAGATAATGAGGACAATCTGATAAAATTAGAGGTATCACCTGTATTAAATTGGTACTGTGTAGGGTCTTTATAGTCACATCCATTAAGTAGAGATTACTAGGACAAAGTTAATTGATTGTTAAGAACAATGGTAGTATACGTACATATTTGCTTTGGATGTTAACGTTTCATTTTTTGGTAAAAAGAAGTAGTTTAGTAAAATTTAGAAATTTTAGTACAGTTTTCACCAAGTGTGATTTAGTGAAAATATTTGTCAAGTCTGAACATTTAAATAGTTATTATTGACAATGCTTTCATCTTGGATGTATTAACCAACATTTGGACACTGCATTTCTTTTGTGTTTGTGGTCATGGATGTGCGAAGTTGTCATGTTTGTTTGAAGCAATCTCTTTTCTGTAAGCCTAAAGCAAATTTGTTCCTGTTAGCTTAAGCACAAATATTTGATTTCAGGAATTTTTCTTATTTACTGTATGACATTTATTTGAATGGGGAGAGAGATGGGATACATTAGATTGCCATCTTTCATTTGTTGCTAGAGCAAAGTAATTCCTGAAGCCCTACATAAAGAACAGTAGCTCTTTGAATAACACACTTTTTCCTCTCATAGTTTGCCATTCTTTTTAGTATTATTGACGAGAAATTATAAACTTATTTTCATGTTTATGTTAAGCTACTTTGTATAATGAATTCAGTGCACTTAAAATATCAGTAATTTGCTGTCAGTGGTGGCTCACACCTTTAATCCCAGCTCTCAGGAGATGGAGGCAGGAGGATCTCTGAGTTTGAGGCCAGCCAGGTCTACAGGGGGAGTTCCAGGACAGCCAGAGAGCTACATAGAGAAGCCCTGCCTCAAAAAAAAAAAAAAAAAACAAAATTTAAAAGAAATCAATAATTTATGTTTTAATTATTGTACTTTGATCATTTGTAGGCGAAACCTAACCAAATTATCCCTGATCTTCAGCCACATGCTGGCAGAACTGAAAGGCATCTTTCCAAGTGGACTCTTCCAAGGAGACACTTTTCGGATTACTAAAGCAGATGCTGCAGAATTTTGGAGAAAAGCTTTTGGGGAAAAGTAAGTCTCTAGATGATAAACCTAACAATGAAAAGCTAAAGCTTATGTTAAGAGATATTTGTTTAAAAAAAAAAAGAGATATTTGTTTAGAATTTGAAATTATAAAATATTTAAAACACAGTGGGTCAGCAAGATGGCTCAGTGGGTAAAGTGCTTGCTATACAGACCTGACAATTTAGCATTTGCCCTCTGCGCTCACACATTAGCACACACTACCATCAACAATAACAATTTAAAAAATTAAATTATTTTTTAAATTTTGTTTTGTTATTGTTATTATTGTTGTTGTGGTTATTATTATTTTGGTTTTTCAAGACAGGGCTTCTCTGTGTGACAGCTTTGGCTGTCCTGGAACTCACAGATTCACTTGCCTCTGCCTGCTAAATGCTGGGATTAAAGGCATGTACCACCACACCCAACTTTTTTTTTCCTTTTTAAACCAGGAATGGTGGTTCGTGGCTATAATCCCAGCACTAGGGAGATGAAAGCAGGAAGATAAGAACTAACTACCCTGGGCAACATGAGATCCTCTCAAAAAACAAAATAAATAAAAATATCCAAAATATGAAAAAGCTGTCAGGGATAGTGTACACTTATAATCCCAGCACTCTGGAGGCAGAAGCAGGTGGATCTCTTGAGTTTGAGGCCAGCCTGGTCTACAGAGCAAGCACCAGGACTGGCTACACAGCTACTGAGAAACCCTGTCTCGAGAAAACAAAAACAAAACAAAACAAAACAAAAGGACAAGCTTTGGGGCAAATGCATGTGCTTACTTCCCAGCTTTTTGGAACATTTTTTTTTCTCCCATCTTTTTGAGACAGAGCTTCTCTTTGTGACCCTGGCTGTCCTGGAACACACTGTCACCAAACTGTCCTCCAACTCAAGAGATCTGCCTGCCTCTGCCTCCCAAGTGCTGGGATTAAAGGTGTGTGCCACTATGTCCAATTTTTCCCAATTTTTTTTTTTCCTTTTGGTTTTTCAAGACAGGGTTTCTCTGTAGCTTTGGAACCTGTCCTGGAACTAGCTCTTGTAGACCAGGCTGGCCTCAAACTGACAGAGATCTGCCTGCCAAGTGCTGGGATTAAAGGCATGTGCCACCACCGCCCAGCTTTCCAGCTTTTCCCAATCTTTAAAGAAATAAAACTGCAATTGAGATGAAGTCTGTATTCTTTGATTGAATGAATATTCTTCCTTTTCTCTCCCTGTCTATTCTGTTAATGGACATTTATGTTACAAATTATTGGTTTAAATTTTTTAAACTGTGTATATGTGTGTATTTATACACGTGAGTGTAGTATAGAGGCCAAAAGAGGGTGGCAGATCTCCTGGAGCTGAAGTTATAGGGTGTTGTGAGCTGTTGGATGTGGTGCTATAAACTGAACCTGGGTCTTGTGGAAGAGTGATACCTGACATTAACACTGAGCCACCTCTCAGCCCCACATTTCAAATTATTGCTGTTTCAAACTGAAATGAGTGGTGTCATGGTTGTTTTCATAGGCTAGGAATTCTCCTTAGTTACATAGCTAAGAATGTTACTGGTAAGTCATGGGGTTTCACTTTTTCCCCTTCTACTAAGTATTGCCTAATTGCTTTCAAAAATGGTTTGTATGAGTTGTTTCCTCTCTCTCATTTGTTTTGTTTGTTTGTTTGGTTTTTGGTATTTGGGGGGTGGGGGCAGGATTTCTCTGAGTAACCCTGACTGTCCTGGGAATGCTCTTGTGTTAGACTAGGCTGATCTTGAACTCGGAGATCTGCCTACTTCTGTCTCCTGAGTGCTGGTAAGAGTTACAGGATTTGAGTTACTTTGCAGTACAGCACAGCACTTGCCTAGAGTGATTCAGGTCCGGTTTTCAAACCTTAGCAGTGAAGAAAGTGTACTAATTAAAAAGAAAATGCTAATGCGTAGCTAGGCATGGTAGTGCACACTATAATTCCAGCTCTTGGGAAGCAGAGGCAGGAATTTGAGGCCAGGCAGCAATGCAAAAGTTCCTGGGCCACTCCCCCCACCTTTTTTTCTTTTTTCTTCAAAAAATAGGCAAACAGCTGGTGGTGCAGACCTTTAATCCCAGCGCTCAGGAGTCAGGGGCAGGCACATCTTTGTGAGTTTAAAGCCAGTCTGGTCTACAGAATGAGTTTCAGGTCAGGCTCTAAAGCTACAGAGAAACCCTGTCTCAACCCCCCAAAATAAATCTCTCACAGAACTCAAATTATATTTAAACTAAGAACAGAAAGAAGAAAATAAGGGATATGTTTGTTAACTTCCTAATGAGTAACAGATGATTTTCTACAATTCTCTGGCCAAAAATGTCACATATTAATCACCTTCTCATCCTTCTACAGGCAATTTGTTCTAACCTAGAAGCATAGAAGGAAGATGATGAGGTTATTTTTTTTTTTTAAAACAGGGTTTTACCATGCAGACTCTGGTTAGCCTTGAACTTTCCATCCCCTTCCTCAGCCTCACCATGCTGAAATGAGAGGTTCAGACCTCTACACCAAGTTTTTCTTTGGAAATGGCATCTCACTAGGCCTAGCTGGCCTGGAACTCATAGAGACCCACTTGTCTCTGCTGGAACTAAAGGCTTAAGCCATCACACCTGGTTTTGAACTAAACTTTGAAAATCACAGTCAGGCAGGGTAGTGGTGCCACGTCTTTAATCCCAGCACTCAGATCTCTGCTGAGGCAGTCAGATCTCTGTGAATTTGAGGCCAGTCTGAGTTAAAGGACAGCCAGAGCTCTTAAACAGAGAAACCCTGTCTTGAAAAAATAAAACAAAATAAAAACAAACAGAAAAAAGAAAATCACAGTCCATATCTGCAGTTGCCTATTATCTCATTGTGCCTTCTCTCACCCCACTCCACCTCAGGACAATAGTTCCTTGGAAGAGCTTTCGACAGGCCCTTCATGAAGTGCATCCCATCAGTTCTGGGCTGGAGGCCATGGCTTTGAAGTCCACTATTGATCTGACCTGCAATGATTATATTTCTGTTTTTGAATTTGATATCTTTACACGACTATTTCAGGTAGGATACTAAAGTCATTGACTAACCTGGTACTATTTTTATGAAGAGAAAGCTCTTTAAAAAAAAAAAAAAAGATAAAAACTGAGTGTGGTGGCTTGTAATTATAATCCTACCACTTAGGGTTTTGAGGCAGGATGATTGCTGAGTTCAAGGCCAGCCTGGGCTAAAGAGTGAGTTAGAAGCAAGCATGGCCTATAGGATAATGCCCCGTCTCAACTAGGAAAAAAAAGTAACGTTAAGGATTTTGTCTATCTTAAAAGCATTTCAGTTCAGTACTGGAGAGATGGCTCAACAGTTAACAGCACTTGCTGCTCTTGCAGAGGACTCAGGTTCAATTTCCGTGGTGACTTGCAACTACCTGTAACCCTAGTTCTAGGTGATCTAACGTCCTGTCCTGACCTCTGTGGGCATTACACATGTGTGTAGTTTGCCTGCATACTTGCAAGCAAAATACTCCTACATATTAAAAAAATAAACACAATCTAAAAGTGTTTGAATTCATTTTAGAAACTTGTAAACAAAAGAAAGATTAAAATTTAAACTTGTATTATTAATTTTAGAATTGTGAGAGTGGGGAAAATAGAGACAGAGAAAGGCATTCCCAAGATTGGAAGTGGGTCTGAGAGTTGAGAAAGGTCTTAAGTATTGGTCCTTCAATGTGTGTATGTGCCAACTTGAGTAAGCATTCATTAAGAGCTTAATAATTGTACATATAGGCCCTATTCTGTTTTTCTGGGGTTTGTTTGTCACTGTTTGACTTTAATACTGGTAAGAGCTGCTAAGCTATTTTGTGTGCATAGTTGTCTCCCTATACAAGACTGCTTGTATTCTGAACTCTCAAAGTGTCTATTCTCCCAAATATATTTGTCATTCCCAAAGAATGACAATAGAGAATTTGTGACAAATTTGTATTTGAGAGGTGAAGTTTTTTTCTTTTGTTCTTCATTGTTCTGAAGGTGTATGTCTGAGCCAGATGGTTTATGATTGATCTTTTATTTCTTTAGCCCTGGTCCTCTTTGCTTAGAAATTGGAACAGCCTTGCTGTAACTCACCCTGGTTATATGGCTTTCCTGACATATGATGAAGTGAAAGCAAGGCTCCAGAAGTTCATTCACAAACCTGGCAGGTCAGTACCTTGAAGTTGATTCACAAACCTGGCAGATTGAAGGAAAGAGGTTTGTTCTCCTGAATTTCATTCTCTCATGATTTTTGTTAGAGTTAAAGGAACATCATTTTTTACTGGTTCCCCCGTAGCCCAGTTTTGGGGATAGGATTGATTTAATCAACTCATGTGATTTAGTAAATATTTTTAAGCCAATATAGAATGCGATTTATGCTGGGTGCTTAGAGTCCGAGTACGCAAGAGCTTAGAAAGCTAAAGCAGGAGAATGGTTCGAGACCAACCTGAAAAATATATCAAAATCCTGTCTCCAGTAAATAGAACCGTGAGGTATTTTGCTTCTTTATGGAATCATTAGAGGAGTTGATTTTTTTTTAATGTTGGAGAGAGTAAACTGAGGCCTGCAGACATACTACAGCATTCATTTTCCCTCTAAGCTATGCCCCAGTCCCTTGAAAAAGTTACTTTAAATTCTTTTCAGGTTTGCACAAGAAAAGAGTTTTATTATTTATGTTTTCATATATACTTTGTTGTTATTCATATTCATCCTTTTCCCCTGAAGGAGATATTCTTAATGGTCTGTTTTTTTAAATCCTGTCCTCTATCTTGCTTTATGTCTGATAGCATATATATTGAAACTTTGCTAATCTCTGTCCTCAGTTACATCTTTCGGCTGAGCTGTACTCGTCTGGGTCAGTGGGCTATTGGGTACGTTACTGCTGATGGGAACATTCTGCAGACAATCCCACACAATAAACCACTCTTCCAAGCACTGATTGATGGCTTCAGGGAAGGCTTGTGAGTATCACTGCTTTCTGTCGTCTCTTAACATCTAGGAACTGGGGACACCAGTGCTTCTTCATTAGTGGCTTCTATTGCATGTTTTTTTTTCTGCAGACTAAAATTTCAGGAATGTGTTAACATGCTACCTTACCCTGCCTTGAGGTTGAAGCAGCTTTGTTCTTTTTGGGAGCTCCCTAAGTGAGACTGGCTATCTTTGTTGTTTTAGTTAGTGCCACGAGTAAACTTTATCTCTTTTTCCAAATAACTTAGTTTTAAAGCAAAATTAGGATAAAAAGCTATGCAAGGATCAGGACATTCTGCTGCTTCTTTAACTAGTCAGTGAGAGGGTGATTAGATGTTCCAGTGACAGCAGACCTCAGTTGCCTTCAGCCTAGTTTTAGTCTGATTCAGCTGTTTTTTTTTTTTTTTTCTTCTTCAGGCCTTGGGCTAATATTTATGGCTAAGTTCTTACTCCTGGAATTACTTACTTTAGGATTTTAAATTTATTTTCAGTCAGTAAACACTGAAAATACTGTTGAGTGGGTATCAGAACAGCAACTGTGTTCTAAAGTTACCAGGAAAAGACATTTTCCATTATGTATCATCTCAGCATTAGCATTGAGGCAAGGAGAGGTGCTGCTCCTAACATCTGGGCAGTCTGATGCTCAGATCACTGTAGATGATCTCAGTGGCTTCATTTGCTTCCGGTTCTACCACTTGTAAATTGGGGTCTCTAGTCAGTAGCACAGCACTCCAGGAACTGGACTACATAACAAGGCCCTCTCTCGGCAATCAAAAATAAAAGAAAAAAATATTTATGCCTCATGACCATTAAAAATAGAGGCTGACAAACTATGACCCATCAGCTAGGTGTTTGATACAGCCTGCAGATCAAGGTGATAGTTGCTTGGGGATTTTGTTTTGATTGTTGAGACAGGGTCTCACAGGTAGCACTGGCTAGCTTAAAACTTACTTCTTACTTTGTAAGCCAGGCTGACCTCCAATTCACAGAAGAACCTGCCTGGTTCTGCTTCCCAAGTGCTGGGATTAAAATTGTGCACCAGCACCCATGGCTTATCACTTATTTTTACACGTGGGAGCATTTTGCCTGCTTGCCTGCCTCTATAGGCACCACTTGCAAGCCTGTTACATGAGGAGACCAGAAGAGGGCATCAGAATTTTGGAACTTGAGTTACAGTTGTGAGCCTCCAAGTGGTTGCTAGTAATCAAACTTAGATCCTCTTGGCTGTGGTGGTACAGACCTTTAATCCCAACAATGTGGAGGCAGAAGAAGGTAGGTCTCTAAATTTGAGGACAGCTTGATCTACATAGTGAGACCCTGTCTCAAAATAAAAACAAACAAACAAAACCCCAGATCCTCTGGAAGAATAGCCATCTCTCCAGCCCCTTGTTACTTGTTTCAAAGATGTGGTAGCTGGGCAATGATGGCACATGTGTTTAATACTCGGAAGGCAGAGACAGGTGGATCTCTGTGAATTCAAGCCAGCCTAGCCTATAGAGCAAGTTCTAGGACAGTCCCTAAAGCTACAGAGAAACCCTGTCTTGAACAAACAAAAAAGTGGTAGTTTTCATTTGTCTGTTTTACTTTGCACTGATAATTTGACCTGATTGAAACGCTAGGATTATTAATCTCTTTCTAGCTATTTATTTCCTGATGGGCGAAGTCAAAATCCTGACCTGACAGGTTTATGTGAACCAACACCGCAAGATCATATCAAAGTAACCCAGGTGAGTTTTGTTTTATAATTGTATTCATTGGAGCTGAACTTTTGGGTGTATTCTCAGAACTCAGTAATAGTCTAAGTATTACAACAATTAGATTTTAAACTATTGATTAGATTAGTGAGTGTGTATGAGCATGTATGGTGTTGTGTTGCATGGTGTATGAGGAGGCCTGACCGAGGTCAACAATGAGCATTTTTTAGTCGCTCTCCATCCCAATTTTTAAAAAATAGAGTCTCTTATTGAACCTGGACCTGACTGATCGGCTTGGGTGGCTGGGCATCGAGCCCCTGGGATCTCTCTGTCCCCCAGCCTTAGGGTTACAGATGTGTGTGCCTTTTAGGTGGTCCTGGGGATCTGAACTCAGGTTCTCATTCTTGTACAGTAATCAGTTTTTCTACTGATGGAGCCATCTCCTCGGCACCTAATGTGACATTGCTATTTGAGTAAACTTTTTATGCGCATGGGTACCTGTACCTCTGGATGAATGTGTGTACGCCACATACATGTATATCTGTGGAGATAAGAAAAAGGCATCAGAACTGGAGTTCCTATGTGGGTGCTGGGAAGAACAGCCAGTGCTCTTAATCACTGAGCCATCTCTCCAGCACCACTCTTTGAGTAAATTTGACAGTCTTTTGGTTTTCATGTTGCTAACATTTAGTATCGCTCATTCAATACATTTTCTCTCAATTTTTTCATCAAAGGAACAATATGAATTATACTGTGAGATGGGCTCCACATTTCAACTATGTAAAATATGTGCTGAAAATGATAAGGATGTGAAGATTGAGCCCTGTGGACACCTCATGTGCACATCCTGCCTTACATCGTGGCAGGTATGGACATCCAAACTCTGTTTTCTCTGTGTGGTTACTCTGAGAGAAGGGTGGGGTAAGTTCAATTTTTTTAAGTCCCCTTCTCTTGCTTGCTCCCCCCCCCCCCCCAATTTGGATGTTTAAGGTAAGGCCTCATTTAACCACTGCTGGCTACCATATCAATTTTGGAAGATGACTTCAAACTCCTGTGCCTTCTGCTTTGACCTCCCAAATGCTGGCATTACAAGGGTGGGCCACAGTACCTAACTCTTCTCCTATTCTTTCTCTTCTTCTAGGCACTGAGGAATAATTCCAGGGCCTGCTAAGCACACACTACCTCTGAATTATATTCTTCATTAAGTCTACTTTTATCTGTAGGAGCTGTACTTACTAGGAGATGAGTATGTTACATTCTTTCAGAATATCTGTTACTCTCATTTGTCTTCTGCAGGAGTCAGAAGGTCAGGGCTGTCCATTCTGCCGATGTGAAATCAAAGGTACTGAGCCCATCGTGGTGGATCCATTTGACCCCAGAGGCAGTGGCAGTCTATTAAGACAAGGAGCTGAAGGAGCTCCTTCCCCAAATTATGATGATGATGATGATGAACGAGCTGATGATTCTCTCTTCATGATGAAGGAGTTGGCAGGTGCCAAGGTAAGACTGGAATTCGGGGGCATTGGAGATACAACTTGGTGTTAGAGAAATGTCTTGGTCAGCATTTCTGTTATTGTGATAAAACACTGATCAAAAGCAATTTGGGGATGAAAGAGTTTATAGCTTGTAGTTCATCATCAGGGAAGTCAGGGCTACACTGGGAGGCTTTCTTCCTTTGTTAGAACTGAGGATTAAGGGAGGGAGATGCTTGAGAATTTTATAAAGATACTAGTATTCATTTCTTCACTGAACGGCACATGAATAGTGTTTTCTTTGTAGCTTTCAGTTTGTTATATATTAACTTTTAGACGATATTAAAATTTGACTCTCTTTCCCTCCTTAAAATCTTACCATAAAAGTGTATGAAAACATGGCGCTGCCCTGTTCTTCACACTTCACACCCGGCAGCTGTCATTTGTTGTTGTATGTTTTGTTTCTTTTTCTGCGCTGTACCTTGGACTTGAGCTCTAGGCACGTAACTGCTACCACTGAGCCACATCATTGATCTGAGGGGCGTGTGTATTTGTTGTATAAAGTTAAAGGTTTGGGGGTTTTTTGTTTTGTTTTTTTTTTTTTACAACCTAACTTCCCGTTTTTCCTGAAATAATTATATTTCTAATTTTCAGTTTGCATCTGTCACTAATAAGAAGACCATGCTTTAAAGCATCTTCTCAAGTGGCTGCATTAAGAAATAAATTCTAAGCCCAGCAGTGATGGTGGTACACACACCTTTAATCCCGGCACTTGGGAGGCAGAGGCAGGAGGATCTCTGTGAGTTTGAGGTCAGCCTGGTCTACAGAGCAAGTTTCAGGACAGCCAGGGCTACACAGAGAAACCCTGTCTCTCAAAACTGAAAAGAAAAAAAAAAAGAAAGGAATGCGATCAGCAAACTGTACAGTGCAGTAGGTAGCATATAATACGGTGCTGTGATCCTCGGCAGTCATCTGTGCACCTTCCATCTGCTCTGCTCACTCTAAGTGGACTGCTTCCCTGCCATCCTTTCCTCTCATGGACCTGATTGCCTCTCCTCTGCAAAGACTTATTTCTTGCATCCCATGTTTTCTTTTTCCCTTTTTGAGGGAACTATGCCCTTGAAATATCTTTCTGGGAGCCTGGAGAGATTGCTCAATGGTTAAGAGCATATGGTACTCTTCTGGAGGACCCAAATTGGATTCCCTGTATCCATGTGCTACACCTCACAGTTAACTGTAACTCCAGTTCCTGAAGGATCCAAATTTGTAATCTTGTAGTCACCTGCACCCATATACAAATGACTACACACAGACACTTATACATAATTAAAAATAGTAAAAATAAATCTTTAAAAATATCTCTGGCCCGGCAGTGGTGGTGCATGCCTTTAATCCCAGAACTTGGGAGACAGGGGCAGGTGGATCTCTGTGAGTTCGAGGCCAGCCTGGTCTACAGAGTGAGTTCCAGGACAGGCTCCAAAGCTATACAGAGAAACCCTGTCTCAAAAACAAACAAACAAACAAAAATAATCACTGTGAAAAGGTGAAAGAGTAACTTTCTGGGGTCTTTGAACAAAGGGGACATTATATATAGATTGGAGGTCTTTAGGGGAAGTCAGCAAGTGCTGGACTAGATACTGATGGAATGAGAGTTAGCTTGGTGAATAACTTAACTTTTTTAGTTCTAATATTAAGCTGAATTTTCACCTGAGGTAGAGCCTGGTTTTTTGAGGCTTCAACTAGTCTGTCGTTGTCTCTTCAATGTCCTGTATATTTTGGTTATTTTTAGAAATTTTACTTAATTGGGTGGTGGTGGCGCACGCCTTTAATCCCAGCACTCTGGAGGCAGAGGCAGGCGGATCTCTGTGAGTTCTGTGAGTTCGAGACCAGCCTGGTCTACAAGAGCTAGTTCTAGGACAGGCTCCAAAGCTACAGAGAAACCCTGTCTCGAAAAACCAAAAAAAAAAAAAAAAAAAAGAAAGAAAGAAAGAAGAAAGAAATTTTACTTAATATTCTTTTTCCAGATAATATAAATATTTTGTCTTTAAATTTTTTTATTTACTATTATTTGTGTGTGTGTGTTTGTGCATGATTATCTGTAAGGGGATGGGGGTCCCATGGCCTTCCTATGGAGGTCAGAAGACAATTTTGTGGTCTTATTTGTTTGTCTGCTTTTAAGATTTATTTTATGTTTATGAGTGCTTTTATCTGCATTCATGCCTTTGTGCCAGAAGAGAGCATCAGATATCAGTAGAGATGGTTGCAAGCCACCTTGAGGTTGTTGGGAATTGAACTCAGGACCTCTGGAAGAGCAGCCAGTGTTTTCAACTGCTGAGCCCTCTCTCTACCCCTAGAAGACAACTTTTTTTTTTTAAATATTTATTTATTATGTATACAATATTCTGTCTGTATGCCTGAAGGCCAGAAGAGGGCGCCAGACCTCTTTGCAGGTGGTTGTGAGCCACCATGTGGTTGCTGGGAATTGAACTCAGGACCTTTGGAAGAGCAGGTAATGCTGTTAACCACTGAGCCATCTCTCCAGCCCCCTAGAAAACAACTTTGTAGGGTCAGTTCTCTCCTTCCACCTTTATGTGCTTTCCAAGGGTTGAACTCAGGTTGCCAGACTTGCACAGCAAGCACATTTACCTAGTTTTAATCTTGATAATAGTCTTTTTTTTCCTCCAAAGATAATGAGATAGAGTATTGTAGTAGTTTTTAAAATTGTGAGGGAATCTCCTTTTCGTATTGAGAGTGTCTGTCTGATTGAGAGTGCCCTCTTACGGTGATATAAACATAGTCCAGGATTTCAAAAATATCTGCGATTTTATAGGTTTGTGTGACCCAGCACCTATGATCACATAGTATTTGCTGTCTCCAGCATTAGGATTGAAAGATGCTGTTCCCTAAACAAGAGTAACCCTTTCAATCTCATCGGTTCTAGGTGGAAAGGCCTTCCTCTCCGTTCTCCATGGCTCCACAAGCTTCCCTTCCTCCAGTGCCACCAAGACTTGACCTTCTACAACAGCGAATATCTGTTCCTCCCAGCACTTCAGTTCTGGGGACTACTTCTAAGGCAAAGCATTATCCATTTCTGCACTTTGATGGGCCTTTCTTATATAAAAGTGGTTTTGATTGATTTGTTCTCATCTTGTTTCCATAGGCTGCTTCTGGCTCCCTTCATAAAGACAAACCATTGCCAATACCTCCCACACTTCGAGATCTTCCACCACCACCCCCTCCAGACCGGCCTTACTCTGTTGGAGCAGAAACACGTCCTCAGAGACGCCCCCTGCCTTGTACACCAGGCGATTGTCCATCTAGAGACAAACTGCCCCCTGTTCCCTCTAGCCGCCCAGGGGACTCATGGTTGCCTCGGCCAATCCCTAAAGTACCAGTAGCTACCCCAAGCCCTAGTGATCCTTGGAGTGGAAGAGAACTGACCAATCGGCACTCACTTCCCTTTTCATTGCCCTCACAAGTGGAATCCAGAGCAGATGTTCCTAGGCTGGGAAGCACATTTAGTCTGGACACTTCCATGGTAAGTCCTGAATTTTAGACCATTTTGCTTAGGAGTTTCTGTAGGTGGCATTTTATAGTCAGAAGTGTTTTCATTGGACTGGGTGTGGTGGTAAATACTTTTAATCCCACAGTAGGCAGAGGCTCTCAGACTTCAGAGTTCAAGGCCAACCTGGTCTATGGAGGAGTTCCCTGGAAGGAGACAGCTAGGGCTGTTAAACGAGAAACCCTGCCTCCAAAAATAAATAAATAAAAATAAAAAAATGTGTCTCTATATAGTGTAGTGTAGAGTATCTGGTGCCAGTGACCACGTGGGAGTGTTTTACCAGAACTTAGGTTAGATGGATCCTTTAGAGTGCATGAAAGGAATTCACAAAGGCTTAGAAGCAGTCAGTACGTGGAAAGACATAAGACATGAACTCTCTCCTAAACTGGCTAACAGACTTCAAATTTGGAATGAACTTAGATGGGTAAATTGAAAAGGAGGTTGGAAGCTAATGAAGAGATAGAATGGGAAAAATACAGTTTAGCACTGTAATAACACTTAGATGACTCTTGGTTTCACAGAAAAAAAATGGTAACATTTGAATGGCTCCAAATGGTGGCATTCTGGAGTAGCATCATTGAGAACATCTGTTGAGCTTAGATGTAGATTTACTTATGCTAGAAGTAATATTTCTATAGACGGGGGCTGGAGAGATGGCTCAGAGGGTAAGAGCATTGCCTGCTCTTCCAAAGGACCTGAGTTCAATTCCCAGCAACCACATGGTGGCTCACAACCATCTGTAATGAGGTCTAGTGCCCTCTTCTGACCTGCGGGCATACACACAGACAGAATATTGTATACATAATAAATAAATATTTTGAAAAAATATTTCTATAGACAACTAATTTTATTTCATCTGTTTTTAGAATTAGAATGAATAAGGTATTTCCTAGCTTTCTTCTGACTCTTCCACTTGAAATTCCTTCAGTATCAGTATCTATAAGCAATTCTTTTTTTTTTTTTTTTTTTTTTTTTTTTTTTTTTTTTTTTTTTTTNACTCACTCTGTAGACCAGGCTGGCCTCAAACTCAGAGATCCACCTGCCTCTGCCTCCTGAGTGCTGGGATTAAAGTCATGTGCCTCCACTGCCTGGCTATAAGCAGTTCTTTTGTCAGATGTTATGACTCTTGGATTTGGGAGGTCTGTGTTAATATTTTTGTGAGTTTTTCCCACCAGTAGGTTCAGTAAGAGGAGATACTTAACTACTTAACTGTAGTTGGGAAAGTTTTTTTTTTCTTTTTCATATCTTTTCTTACTTTGCAGAATATGAATAGCAGCCCAACAGTGGGTCCAGAGAGTGAGCACCCAAAAATCAAGCCTTCCTCATCTGCCAATGCCATTTACTCTCTGGCTGCCAGGTAAGCATATTAGAGTTGTATTCATTTCGTGCAGTGGGTATTTCCTTTTTTTTATGAGATAGGGTCTCCCTAGGTAGATAGTGATGTCTTCAAACTCAGAATCCTAAACTGGATGTTGTTGGTGCTTGCCTGTATCCTGTGCTTGAGATACTAAGGCAGTAAGTAGTATTGCTACAAGTTTACAAGCTAGCAAAACTCCTTCTCAAAACAAACCTTGGTATTCTTCCAGAGAACCACGGGGAGGCTCACAACCATCTGTAACTTCAGCTCCAGGGGATCCAATGCCCCTGGCCTCCTTGGGCACCTGCACTCATTTGCACGTACCCATTTGTAGACACGCCTATGTGTCTCATGTTTTATTATAACTAAAAGTAATAAGAAATGATCTTAAACAAAAAGTTACCTCACAAGTCTACCTCTGAGTGCTTGTGAGTTTTATATTTTGAAATATTTTCTTCTCATGTTTTTCCTTTGTGCTGAGTCTTTTGTTTTTATTAATCTTCTTAAAGATTTGGTTTTGTTATGTTGCTGTGACATGATTTTTAAATGATGCCTGTTTCCAGGCACGTGGCACATGCCCTTAATCCCAGCACTCTTGAGGCAGAGGTCTCAGAATTTGAGGCCAGTCTGGTGTACAGAGTGAGTTAGTTCTAGGACAATCAGGGTTGGGGGGGGGGGCACCTTTGTCTCAACAAACAAACATCCAGATGGTGGTGGTGCACACCTTTAATCCCAGCACTCACTCAGTGGTGTAGAGACAGGTAGGTCTCTGAGTTCAAGGCCAGTGGGGTCTACAGAGCTAGTTCCAGGACAAACTCCAAAGCTACACAGAAAAATCCTGCCTTAAAAAACAACAAACAAGCAAAAATGTGTACTACTTTTATAATCAGGAAAATATTATGTAAATGAGGGAAGGCAAATAAATGCAAGTATTTCTTGTTGATGTGCAAAAAAGTGAAAAGGGAAAGAGATAGAATTATTCCAAGAAGCATGAGGTGAGGTCATGTTTCTTATGAAGCTGTTATTTTGTCTTAGTCTCCTTTCATAAGGTGAGACAGCGGAAGTTTTTGTTTCTTTTTTTTAATTATTGTATGTGGTACCTGAATATATATGCCTGTACGCTATGTGCAGGCAGTGCTCATGCAGATGTACCAAAAGAGGGACTCAGGTCCCCTGGAACTGGAGTTACAGATGGTTGTGAGTTGCTGCGTGGGTGCTTTGAATAGAGCCCTGATCCTCTCTGGAAGAGCAGTCAGTGCTCTTTACCACTGAGCCATCTCTCCAGCTCCTGAGAAGTTTTATTGAAGAAAGCTGAATGAGAATTACATACTTTGTGCTGCAGTAGCAAAATCTCTGAAGTAGAGGCACAGAGATACAGTCAGTCTAGCACATGCAAGGTTCTATGTTTGATCCCTTCACTACCAAAATAAAAAAAAGAGGAAGAAAAAAATGAATGATTAAGAGTCAAACATGTAGGATCTAATCTACTTTTTTATCTCTTTATTCAGGTTACTTTTTTATCTCTTTATTTTAGATTTTTCTGATAGGAAATAGTGAAGAGAAGAAGTGATCATACTTTAGAGAAATGCTTTTGACAAGCTATATAATCTTACTACCATAGATGGGTTTTTGTATTGTGATTTGCTATACATTTCTAGCATTCTGTTAGAAAGCCACCTGCTATTCCATGTTTTATGCCTTGGGGGGAAAACAATACTAACGGGAGCACTGTAACAAAACTTACTTGTGAGTTGCGGGTAACTGGAACCAACTGCCTATCCCAGCTTCACATTTGGATCAGCTCAAAGCAAACTTTGTAGTTGATGCATATTTTCCTAAATATTTGCCATGGTCAGTGGAAGTGATAGTACCCTAGGTACTATTTATTTATTTATTATTTTTAATTCTTCCAGGCCTCTTCCTGTGCCAAAACTGCCATCTGGGGAGCAGGGAGAAAGTGAAGAGGACACGGAGTATATGACTCCCACATCTAGGCCTGTAGGAATTCAGAAGCCAGAGCCCAAACGGCCTTTAGAGGCAACCCAGAGTTCACGGTATGCTCCCAGCAACCCCAATTGGAGCTAAGTGTGTTTACTTGGATAATTCACTTGTCTTTCACCTGCTTGTTTTCTTATTGCACAGACCATTACCTAGTCAGAAGTAAAGCAGAAAGAGAAGTCTAGACCCTAATGTTTACATCCCTAATAGCGATAAGCAGTTGCATTGTTTTCCACTGTGGCACAGTGACCTCTGGAACGTGGACACCATTAGCTTGTCATGAGTCAGTCTCACGGTATTTATAAATGGTATAGGTACAAAGAGAGTATGTTGTGTTGAAAGAATCAGGGTCTGGGACAGTTAGAAACAGGTTAGTCTGCTTGAGTTAGCAATTGACAGAATTTTGTTTGTGAAGATCATTGTACCTCTTTGTGGTTCAGAACGTGTGACTGTGACCAGCAGATTGACACCTGCACGTATGAAGCAATGTATAACATTCAGTCCCAAGCACTCTCTGTAACGGAAAACAGTACCTTTGGTGAGTAGCCTGTCTTCTACTAAAATTGATATGCCTTGTGTGGTAGCACCTGTCTGTAATTTTAATGCTTGGGAGTCTGAGGCAAAAGAATTTCAAGTTTGAGGCCAGCCTAGCCTACATAGCTAAGACTCAGTCTCAAGACTAAGAAGAAAAAACCCTAGGGGTGCTCTGTAACATTCGGTTAAGACAGCTTATCCAAATAGAAAATTATTCTCAGTGCTCTTTGGCAAAAAGTCTTTGACTCATGTACAGAATGGGCCCCACTTTCCTTTTTAAGCACTATTTCCTAACTTTTCCTCCTCCAGGGTCTGGAGACATCTGCGTTATATGGCCTGGACCTCAGGACTAGCAGCTCTCTTTTATTCCCATTACATTGATGAAATTCTTTTGTGTGGGGGTAGTTCCCATGGTAAATAGTTTATCAAGATGAAAGTTCAAGAAACCTGCATACACAAGCCCTTTGGCTGATCTTCTCAGTTAAAATATGGGTAGGAGTCTATAAAATAGCACTTGAGTCTTGGCATCAGTAGCTGTTGACCTTAGCAAGAGTGACTGTTGACATGTTCAGCAAGAGCAGGTGGAGTTTTTATTTTATCCATCTACAGGCCTGAAATGGTATTTGGCCCACAGTAGACATTTGAGTACCTTTTGAATGGAATAAATGGTTGTGTACATGGGCGAATGAGTGAATCCCTCTGAGCTGAAGTGTGTTAGCAAATGAAGTATGTCAGCAGAGAACGATAGCTTATACCAACTTTATTCCAGGGGAAGGGAATTTGGCTACAGTCCACACCAGCACTGGCCCTGAGGAATCAGAAAATGAGGATGATGGGTATGATGTGCCTAAGCCACCTGTGCCGGCTGTACTAGCTCGTCGGACTCTGTCTGACATCTCTAATGCCAGCTCCTCCTTTGGCTGGTTGTCTCTGGATGGTGATGCTACAACAAGTGAGTCTGCAGGCTGCCTTACTTGTCCTGGATTAATGCTCTCTGGCCTCTGATTTATAACTAAAGTCATGATCTTCTGGTGGCAGTAAGTCAGTGAGTGGATGTAGCAGGCTGTGCACTGTATCTAAATGTTGGAGAGCAGGTCCTAGGTCCCACATAGGAAGTGAAACTCTGCAGGTGGTGCTTAAACCACAGCTCCTCCTGTAGGAGAGGGCAGGGCTTCTAACTTTTCTGAGTAGATAGAGGCGATGTTGTTGTCCCTGGCCCCTTCTCGTGTCATGTGTGTCTCCCCGCCTCCCCCAGCTAAGCCCTATCCTACTGGGAAGGATTGTACTGTCCTCAAATACTAGCCCTCCACACACACACCCCCCCCAACACACACACATTAGTCTCTGGTATCCAGGACTACTCTTGCACCTGTGGCTGCCTGGTAGGGAAGCAGCCAGAGTAGCTGTCACTTTGTTCTCAAAGTTATCTTCAATTTCCAATGACAGCTGATGAAAAAGATGTAGCATCTGGTTTCCCATCTAGGTAGGATTCCCACCCAGACTAGCTTACTGCTTCTTCTTTGCAATTTTGGCTGTGCTATCTCCTTATTTGTAGAAGAAATGGTTTAGTTTAGTTTAGTTTAGTTTAGTAATGTGTAAACTTATTAAGTATAACACACAGTGTAGGTGTGATAATGCTTCTCAAAGTTGCAATTACAGTTACAAGAATGGGCGTAAGACATATCTAGTAGGTTCTTCACTCTGTAATAAGAGTCTAGATCAAAACCCAACTTGTAGACTGATGACCTAGCTCAGCAGCAGAATACTTTACCAACCTGGGTTCACACCTAGCACTGAAGATAGATAAAAACCCAGACTTGTGCCAGGCATGGTAGCTCACAGCTGTAATCTCAGCACTTGAGAGACGGAAGCCCGAGTACAGGTGTGAGTTTGATTCCAGTCTTGGCTATAGAGTGAGCTCCTGTTTTAAAACAAACAAAAAATATAATTCTAGCCTTGTAACAGAGGAATACATTAGCATATTGTTATTGTTGCTGCCATTAAATTGGAGCTTCCAGGATTTGCAAATATTTTTTTCTTTCTCTTTTAGACTTCAATGAGAGTTCCCAAGTTCCTGAGCGCCCCCCTAAACCATTCCCCCGGAGAATCAACTCTGAACGAAAAGCAAGTAGCTATCAGCATGGTGGAGGTGCCACTGCTAATCCTGCTGCCGTCGCTCCCTCCCCACAGCTCTCAAGTGAGATTGAGCGCCTCATGAGTCAGGGCTACTCCTACCAGGACATTCAGAAAGCTTTGGTCATTGCCCACAACAACATTGAGATGGCCAAAAACATCCTCCGGGAATTTGTTTCTATTTCTTCTCCTGCCCACGTAGCTACCTAGCACATCTCTCCTTGCCATGGATTCAGAGGACCCATGAGCCGGGCTCTTACTCGAGCACCTAGGAAAGCAGTGACTTCTTTTGGAACATCACAGTGAGGTCCTGCCTTTTCTGTGGGTATCGACACCCATGGTTCCAAGATTTCAAAGCAGTGGAATGAAAATGGAGCAGCTGGTGTGTTTCACTGTTACATTGGTCTGAAGAATGTGTTTGTAGTCCTTCAGTTCCCAGTAGGAGAGCGTGAGTTTTTATTAAATGGTAGCCCATCCCTGCAACAGTACAGAAAGCAGTAGAAATGCTGTTCTGTAGCCCTAGTTAAAGATTTAAGACTTTCCTGTTAAGGGTGTGTATGTGGTCTGTCTGTGTATCCTCTGATTATAAGATTATCCTGCTGTGTGTGAATCCAGGCAGGGAGTTAGCACAAGAGCTTCAGGAAAGAATCTGAAGACTCCCATCTACTGTGGTATTGCACCTAGCCCTGCTGGATGTTACAACCTCAACACTCCCCTTTGGCTTAGATTATCATGTGCTTAGCTAAGTCTTACCGTGTTAGAATGCCCTCTGTCCTTTACCCTTGAGACTCCTTACCCTATCCTTTCCTCATTGGTGTTCTCTGGCTTGCTGTGACCTAAAGCCAAGCAGCTTACAGGATGTTTTTTCTGACGTCTGATGGTATTGGTTTGTTTGGTAGAATAGGTGGGAAGGAAAGTACTGTTCTGTGGTTACAGTTATGACTGATGCTAACAGCTAACACTGGTCACTCCAAAGTGCTGTTTCTATAGGAACGTTGAATTTGTTAAAATAAGATGTTTGAATTCTCCTAATTACCTAATGACTGGTTTGAAATAGAGGCCTTCATATACATTCCATGTCTTCCCCAGGAAATAGTCTGTGGGAGTCTGTTGCCTTGGTGCCAGGTATGTGTTTCTGATGTAGGTCGTGAGTCTTTCTACCTAACTGGAACAGAAGAACATTTGTTTCCAGGGTGGCTTTCCAGCCCAAATACCATGGAGCTTTTAGGAAGCTTCAGTCACATACTATTTAGATTTACAAAATAAATCAGTAAGGACTTACCTATTCAGTCTTTCTTGCCAGTGGTTAATTTCAGCTGAGGAATTTCTCCCTTGAAGAGGAGTGAGGTTAGCCTTTCAGAAGTGATTTCTTTCCTCACCCTCTAAGGGGTAGGGATAACCCTAATTACCTTACGGCATTTGCGGATGACTAGCGCCTTTCCTGCATTGGTACCACCCAGTGACTTGGTTGTTCATGTGCCTAGAGCTTTGGGAATGATTTCTCTTTCTCCTTCCTTGCCCTTATATTGGGTCCTACATATAATCACTGTATCATCCACAGTGTTCACATCATTCATTGAAATCTTTCAGTCAAAGACAGTTTGGGACATTATAGTAGTTTCTCTATTTACAAGTTTATCTAGATTTGGAGTCAGTTTGGAGACCTTCTTCCCAGTCACTGTTACAACCCCTTGGGTTTTAGTTAGTTCTCTGCCTGGAGTCTTGCTGACTTCCCTGGCAGCATTGTCCTTTCTCCTGTCACATGCAAATTGTTTTTTGCATGAATCCACTCTATCCTTTATGTTCAGACAGAATTGGCCCACTAAGATTACACTTTCTTTCTAGTCTTAATATCTTTGCAACTAAAACCTTTTGAACTTTCTTGGTTTCTGGATGCTTCAAGGTCTTCAGGTTTTATCCACTTGCCTCAGAGCTACTTGTGTTCCCAGGGCAGACTGCTATTCCAGTACTTTATGTGGATTTGCCATGGTTACCCAGGGTCTCCTCTACATAGCGGTAAGTAGGAAACAATAGCTTATAGCTTATCATCCACCACAAAAAAGCTCCAATTTTGTGTTCCTTTGAACATTGAAAGCCTGAGCCAGGCTTGGTCACATGTGCCTCTACTCTCAGTACTAGGGAGATGGTGGCAAGATGATGATAAGTTCAGGACCAGCTCAAAGCTGCTCGAACCACTGTTTCAAAACAAACGACTGGGCTTGAATAGGTGGCTCATGGGTTAAGAGTGGCTGTTCTTGTAAAGGACGCAGATTTGGTTCCCAGCATCATGCGGCAACTCACAACCATTTGTAACTCCAGATCTAGAGGGATCTGGTGCCTTCTTCTGACCTCTGTGGGCTCCAGGCACATACATGGTGTGCATACATACATGCAGATAAAACATAAACATAAAATTAAAGAAATATTTTTTTAAAAAGTATAAAAAACAAAAATTTGAAGGCCTCAACAGAGAACTTGGAAAAGGTTACAGGCCTAGTCTCTCTGTATTGTAGTATTTCTTTCCTTGCAGATATTGCCCACTATGTGAAGATCTATCAAGAAAATAAATCATTGGCTATGTACCTTCTGCCTTTTCTGTGTATCCAAGTCTTCTGTGGAGCACTAAGGATATAGCTCAGTTGGTAGAGCTGTTTAGCATTCACAATGCCATGGTTCAGCCCCACACTGCACAGAACAAATGGTGCTGAGGTACACCTCCAGTCCCTAGCACTCAGGAGCTGAAGACAGAGCATTAGAAGTTCAGGGCCACTCTTGCCTACATAGCAAGTTTGAAGCTACCTCGGGCTACATGAAACCCTGCCTCCAAAAGAAAACAAAAACCAGATCTGTGGCAATTACTGTCCCTACTACCTAGGGAAATAACAGTTTTGTCCTGCTTTCTGTTGAGTGCCCGTTTGAGCTCTGAAAGGGGTGTTGAGTGGGCGTTTGGTCCCTATGGTGAACAGGCACATGTTTGATTAGCTCGGGTGTTGGTTTATTAGATGTATATCTGTAGGCATCAAGGATTGAGACCATCATATGTAGGCCTTTCCTTTGGCCCCAGGACATGCTGGGGCCTGTGCCTGATATTATTAGGTAGCCTTAGGAAGGTTTCATGCCACTCATTTTGAAAATAGTCTCCAAAATTGAATTTCTTTTTCTTTTGAAGGCACCAATAACCCATTCTTCTTTTTCCATTTGGATAGTAACTTTTAATTCCTTGGCTCTTCCTCTAAGTTTACCTAAAATTGCTCTTTCATAAATAATCTAGTTTGGGTTTTGCTATTTTTGGCAAGCCCATCCTCTTTTTCTGCTCTATGTTACAATTACGAAAACAGCTTTAACGTTTTCCTATTCCTCAACCTCATTAGGCTATTTTATTCAACAGAGACCATTGCTTTCTCTGTCTTTCTAAATTGCTTTGCATGCCACTTTATTGATGGATCACTGTCTTGCCAGAACTCAAGGCAAGACTTTTCTAGTTCAGCCCCAGGACTAGACTCCTCCAACTGCCCTCCCACTGTTCTTCTAAAGTGAAAAGTTCTTACAATGTTTTTAAAATCCTGTGGGTTCTGAAATATACCTCCTAGTTAGCAGACTGGGCAGCTCTTGACCTCAGCCTTTGTATGTTAGTATTTATTTAAGCAGTGAATTGACCCTGGCTGACCATTCTCTTTCACTTCTTCCCTTCTTCCTCCTCCAGCCCCTCCCTGCATACTCTGCCATTTTGTCTTTCTCTTTCAATTCTCAGACATCCCTTCACTGGACAACGTAGTACTGTCATAGTAGTGCTGGCATCCTTTGGCTGTTCTGTGGGGTATAGGATGGATAAGAGTCACTGTTCTTCATATTTAAAATATTTATTTCCTCTGTGGGAAAGAAAATGTGTTTTATGGTTCAAGTAGCAATCTTACAAGTTAATTTTTATATATAACTTGCTTGCAGACCAAACCAGGAATCAGCTGTGTATTCATTTTATGGCACCATTAACAGGATTTAGTCTTTCTGTGATGATCAGCCATGGTGTTAATGCTGAATGTTCTACCTCACATCATGAGAATCAGAAGGCTGCAGGCCTTCTCATACTTTCCTTCTTTCCATTGGCCTTTCTGACTCTAGAATAATCACTCTACTGAATAGATTATTCTAACCACTGTCCGGGGTATAACCGTTTTCTAATTTCTACAAATATTGGACTGATTACTATGTGTCAGAAATGTCAGCTGTCTGTTCTTCCCTGCCACCTCATGGTGGTTTACTGGTGTTGGGACGTTAAGCATGGACGGTCCTTAACTCTTTTTGCATTTGACTATACATGTGTTTATTCACAACTCTTTTGTATAGAGTTATTTGTCCTTAATAGCGCTGTCTTGCTTAAAATTAGCCCACGACTTTCCCATTAACCCCTGTTGTCTTTCTGTAGCCTTGATAATAATTGGGAGATTCTGTTGTGTATACCTCATGGATTATCCTTTTTTGCTACAAATTTCATAATCTCTTCAGTGGGTTGAGGATCCACTGACTTAGAGTTGCACAGTAGAGCACTAAATGCTTAAGCAAAGCTTTTGCTGCAGTCTGCTTTCCAATCCAGTGCCTTTATCTTTTTACTGAGCTGCTTTTGTCCCAGGTCCTTCTTGTTGGAAAGGTTGTTTTTACCCTTCTGGGACCTGTCACTATCTCCCGTACAATTTGGGATTTCTTTTCTATTCTTTAGCAATCTGTGTCGTAATTCTGTCTTAGGATAGGTGGAAGGGTTGGGAAAGGGTGAGGTCCTGATTCTCAGGAGCTGGTCAGGAACTGAGCCTGGATTCTGTCCTCACAAGCCTTTCCAGTGTGGGCAGCTTATTAAAGGTACCAGAGCCTTACTGCTGACGTTATCATCTGGCACTTGAAGCTTCAAAATTCAACAGAAGTACTCTAGCACTACATAAAGCATCTGGAGTTAACTGTGATCTCAGTCACACATGGGCAGTCCTTCTTTAGGAATACACACAGCCATTTGATGCATGGGAGACTTGGTTCTTGTATATTACTGGCTGGAAAACTTAGACTTAGTCCCTACGTATACTTCACAGCATATTAGTATACATGACCCCAAAATAGGTACCCTTGACTTTAGTTCACTTGATCTTCTTACAATGAATGTGGTTCTTTAGAAACATTCAATAATTCTTGGAAAGAACAAGAGAAAATTAAACCTAATGATTCCATGGGTCAGAACAGGCACCCTGAGGAGTCTGTGCTGAGCTGTATCTCTTGAGGGTATCTGTTCACCAAGCTGGAACTCTTGGAGCAAGCCTGTCTTTGGAAGTAGCATTAGGGATTTTAGACCAGCCTCAGATACATTGCAAGGTGACGACGAAGACTGGATTCTTGAGTGTCTTGCCTGTTCATGAAGAATATTTTCTCCTCTTCATTTCCAGCAACAGGGAAAGCAGCGACACCATCTGGTGCATGAGTGGAGGTACTCTCCTCAAGTGTGAGTTCCTAATGGAATAGCTTCCCTGCCAGTGACTCTTCTGGTTCTCCCGCTATAGTTTCCTTTATGTCTGGTAGTTTGAAGGTGCAGTCTTTCATTTTGGGACGGTCATGGAGGCAGGAACATGAGGTAGCTGCAAGCAGAAGGACAGTAATACTTAAGTTATGTTCTTAAGAAAGAATATACTCAGTGAGAGTGTTGATTTGAGGGTTCATACCCGCACTGGGCCTTACAGGAAGAACAGAGAGATTGTGGCAGATTGAGAGCCTCCAAGAAGAGATCTGCAAAGGGACTTCCATACTGGAAGCACAGTTTCTGTTCTGCTGTTCATCTGGAAAGGTGAAGTTGAAGAAATCACCCCCTTACCCACTCCCCTTTTCCAGCCTTTTGAGGATAGGGTTCCTCTGTGTACCCCTATGCGCCCTGGAACTCGCTCTGGAGATCAGGCTGGCCTTGAACTCAGAGATCTGCCTCTGGAGTGCTGGGATTAAAGGTGTGTACCACCGCCCAGCTGGAAATACCTATTTTTAACTTACCTAGAGTCACTATCATCTTTGCTTCTTCATTTCTTCCTTTTTTTCTCCTTAGAGTCGTGGCACCCAAGATTGTTTTCCCCACTCATGAGGCTGTTCTAGTCTGTTCTTGGGTAGCATTTCTTAGCCTCCGCTCAACCTCAGGTCTTCTTCGATGTTACTTAGAGTGCAGATCCCGCTTCCACTGTAGCCACTTTAGGCTTGGCTCTCTTCTGGTTTTAGTGCTGAATACCTGTTCATTCTATGGGCTCTTGACCAGTCTCTTGCATTTCCATCCTCCTTGTTTCTCTTTCTGTGAGGGAGCCTGCAGTGATGTACTTAACTCTGCTTTCCTAGGAACCTTGGATGTTTGCCAGGATATAGATACTTTCAGTGTCAAATAGAGCTTGTTCTGTGAGCTCCTTAGACAAGCTACCTGTATCTTCCCTGTCTGGTTGCTTTTTCTCTAGTCCTGTAATAAGTGTTGTGGGTTTTGTTTGCTTGGGGTATTTTTCTTTTCTTTTTTTTTTTAAGATCAACATCAGAATGAGGGGTATTTTTCTTTTAGGGGTGGGGTGAGGGGAGTAAAGCTATGCTTCTGCTTACCTGGATCTTTGGACTCCCATCTTAGAGCCTGCCCTGCATTTTAAGGCATATCACACATACTACCCTGCTTTTAACTTCTAAATATTCAAGTCATTTGGTATACACAGAAGTAACCTACTAATCCAAAGATAGGCATTGAGGCTCATGGAAAGGGCGAGAGCAGAGTGCTCATTTGATGTCTAGGCTCCTGAATGAAGGAGGAGAGGGATAGTAGTGCCATGTGCCTTCAGCGTCCCAGGAGATCTGGGATGCTTGCAAGGGAAAGTACCAGTATTTCTTGGTTCTAGTAAGGAGCACAAGACTTAAGAAATAGAGAAACAAGGAAAGGGAGAGCCTACACATTGTTCTGTGCCTGATGAAGAGCACCATGGGAAGGGCCAGCTGCTAGCCAACAGCTGCTTAGGGATCGTACAGCGTCTTCCCTGTTTTAGTGCTTGAGAAAAATGTGGCTGACCACTCCTTGTGTTGTACAGAACCTAGGCTGAGCACCAGCCTCAGATCTACTAATCTGGCAGCTGAACAAATCAACCAAGAGTTGCGAGCACCTGGTTCTGCAGTCCTTATTCAGTCCCACAACTGAATGTGAGAGGCAGACCTCCACATTGCCTCCAAGTTTTCTTCCCTCTAAAACAGAATGGAAGCCAGAGAAGAGGATTGCACAATGAATGCTGTGCACAGCTCCTTAGGCTCACACTGCCTCCCAACATAGGCCCAGAAGTGGGGTGTGTGGTTGCTGTTGCTACCTCTCACCCAGTAGTGGAGAGGGTGACCATGTTTTGGCTGTCTTGAAGTGGTAAGAGGGTTGCAGGCCCTGAACGCTCTCTTGGCCTCTCCCCTGCTGTCTGGGCTAGTGAGCCCGCCCTGCAGTGCACAGAGAGGAGCCTCCTCCTGACCTTGTCAGCACCCTTAAGTGGGAAGTCTGACCTCTGCTGAGAGGTGCTGGGCATGGCAGCTGTGAGGTACCTCCTCCATCTGCTTTCTGGCTGTGCTGACTTGGGATTTTTAACCTTATATATCTTTTTCCTTTATTCAAAACAAAACAATTTTTAGCACACTGAAAAAAAAAAAAGCCAAATGTTTTGTGCCTTTCTAAGGCAGCGCTGTATCCCAGGCTGCATTTTAGGACTTAATATGGAAATACCAGAGTCTGAGCTCCTCTACCTGGAATCTCTTTAGCCCTAGAGTCTTGGGGACAAGGATATCTGGCCGGAGAGGTGGCACATAGGTGCCTGTAGTCTCCTTTCTCTGCCATGAGGCTTCTTTGGGAAAGAGCAGCACTTTATCTGGCATCGCTTGGTTGGTTCCAGGCAGCAGTTAGCGCTCCACTGCTCCTGATGTCCTGCTCCCTCAGCCTCCTGGAAGAGTTCCCCGCCGCGTGGAGCTGAGGGCGACCCTCCTGGAAGGGGAGATGGTTCATTTGTTTTTCGTTTTGCTGGATCTTGAGCCAGCTTCAACCTCCTGCCTCTCCTCAGACTTGGCTTTCCCTTCATTTGAAGACTTCAACCTTAAAGCATTAAGTGGCTGGTGCCCTTCAGGGTCTGATTGCCCCCAGGGAGAGGCCATGGAACCCAGAAGACTGTCATCCATACTGTCAGAGGTTTCAACCACAGTTTTCTTACCCTCCTTTTTCCCATTTCTCCCCTGCCTGTAGCTAACAAAGAGTGGGGGATAGAAACAGTTCTTTTTAAGGTCCTCCTCAGTCAAGATTTTAAAATTCTTGACTTGGGTGGGGCAAGAGAGAACTTAATATTTTCCCCAGAATAGAGTCCCAATTTGTATATCAGTGTTATGAAAACAAAACACACTTAGGTGAGATTCTCGTGGACTATTTTTTAAATGTCATTAATATAAAAAGATTTCTATTAGCAGTATTTAATCATTCTCCTCTAAAGAGCAGACAGAGGTAAATACTCCTGCAGAGTAGTGGAGCTTTAAGACTCGTTCTCTAAGTCCATGTTGTTTTGCCAGTGTACTGATGTGTAGAGGTCTGTTATACTAATTAGAGGTCTGTTATACTAATGTTATTTATTAATTTTTTTTCATTTCCATACAGTAACTAAAGAGCTTTTTCAAACACCCATGTCTGTAAAAAATATTTTTAAATAAAATTTCTTTTGTTGTAGCACACTTGAGTTCTGTCACATCTGGGGCTGGGGTTAATACACAGGGCAGCTTTGAGACCGATGGCAGTGGTACAGGTGATGGGGTACACAACAGGGGCATAGCTGTCAGTTAGCACTGAGCAGCATGCGGCTCAGCTCTGGATGCTTTAGAGGTAAAGGGACAGTCTTCTGAGAGCCTGTCACTCCTGTGAGGACACCTGTGATTCTGGAAGCATCCATGATGAATGGGAGGCGCATCAAGCTTTTGGGACAATAACACTTTATTTTTCTAACACACATAATATATAAAAGGAAACAATTTGCAAATTTACAGACAAAACCATATATATATATATTTGTATGTATGTATGTACACACACACACTTAACAGATGCACACATACTCCAATAGCTCTTGCCAGGCCAGGTTTTCATCTCTTAAGTACCATTCTCCCACTTAGACTCTCCTGGGATCTGGGCCCATAAACTCGCATGTAGAAATTTGGTATTAACCTACCTATGAGCTTAATCCCCATACCAGTAGACCTCCTCTGTCCATCGCTTCTCTTTCAGTCTCCCATTCTCCACTGAGGAAGCAGGAAGCTCAGGCTCAGTAAATAGCCTTCACTCAAATGAACAACAGTGCTGACCGACTAAAGGATTACCACCAAGCCCTGACTTCTGCCCAAAGGAAAAATATCCCAAAAATCCCTGAAAGAGCAGCAGGCAGGCAGGCACAGAAGCAGTGCTGCAGCTGCCTCTGGACTGTGGGCCTCTCTCGAGGAGCAGTGTGAACAGTGTATGTGACCACGTGTCCAGGTCCCACATCATGTGATACAGCCTGTGAGGGGAGAACACCTGCTCAGAGGGGCAGGCCCACGCAGCTGATGGCAGAAGATGGATATGCAACCTTTGGCTGTGTACAGAAAAAATCCATTTGGGAAAAGGGGAGGAGGGGACAAAACCCTTCCCATTCCTGGGAGACTGAGGCTCCCAGTCACTTGGGATAAACATTACTCAGTGGACACAAAGGAGGACTTGGTCTCTAAAGCCAGGCCTCCATGGCCAAATGAGATCCTCCAAATGGTACTTGTCCCAGTTCTTGGCCCTCTGGACCTGAGTGGGAGTCTTCCCTGCTGTCCCTTTAGCTTGGGGTGAAGACTGAGCAGGGAGCCGGAAACATTGGTGAGTCAGCTAATGCCTCAGATCGATGTATTTCTCTCCCTGAAAGGGGAAGAGAAACAACCAGAACATGAAGAACCATGGGGTTCACAGCATGAACACCAAAAGGAGAGATAATGAAGCAAAAGCTGATGAATTTGCAACAGCCTTGAGGCAAGCAGCAGAAATGGGAAGGGGACAAGAAAAGATAGATGTCCCCCAACTAACTATCTGCAGTGGGGAAAGAGGCTATGCTTTTAGCAGAATATAGGGTTGGGGCTTTGCTGTCTTTCTCCAGGGTCCCTCCACCATGGGCCTCGTCCTGCCATTGTCAGTAATGTAAGGCAGGATGGGCCTGCTCCCCATCTCCAACCAAGGAGGAAGGACAGAAAGAGTTAGTGTTCAGGAACAAGTACCATCAGCCCACTACCCCCGATTCCTGGCCTCAGGAGCTGCCTCCTACCTGGTCTCCTGGAGCCCTCTTGTCACCGGTGCTGCCCTGTAGGAGAGCCATCTCTTCTGGGAGCTTATCTGACTTAACTTCAACTACAAATTCACTCTTACGAGTCGGGGATAGCGTGCTGGGAGGAGGGAGGTGAGAGGTTGGCAACTCGGGGGACAAGGGAAGGGAGAGCCTTTAGGGATGAATACTCTACGGTCTCTGGTGCTGTGGGGCCAGCTCAGGAAGGGAGGACCCGAGGAGATGTGGCGGATGGACGCTGGGCAGTGGGCGGTACGAAAGGTCCAGTTTCTGCTCTCAAGGGTAAGTGGACACTAGGTAGAGGAGGTTCCTATGAGGTAGCAAGCTGGGCAGGCAAAAACGGGGAGGGATTGAGGGCCATGAGCCTGGCTTACATCTCTTGTTTTCCTGAGCGTCCACACGGCAGTTTGCCCTTCTTGTAGAAGAAATAGAGGGTAGCACCCAGTACAGCAAGGACCAAGATACACACGATTACAGCCACAATGACCACACCTTTGCTCTCTGGCTGTGGCAGCTTTTTCTCTGTCAGACAAAGACACTTGTAGTCACTCCCTGCCCCAGGCTGCCACATCGCTGTTGCTGCCCCACCCTAGCCAGCCCAGGGTGACAGATGGGCTGTTACTATTTCTTCACAGGGCAGAGTGGGAACCCTGGCAAAGGCCTGGCTTACCTGTGGAGGTGCTGTTGGCTCTGGTGTGAGGACCGACTGTGGAGGTGCCGAGGCCAGTGGTCTGGCGGAAGTCAGGTGTGAGGGTGGTTAAAGTGACTAGGAGGCAGAGGGAGGGCTTGTTAGTAGAAGCGCACGTTAATGCCCTGGCCTGGGCATGCCCGTCATTCTTGGCGGGGAGGCAGCTCTTACCCAGCTTGAGGATGATGGCGGTGGTGTTTGAGCCCTCGGAGTTGGAGGCTGTACATTCTGCACCTGTCTCCAGCAGCTCTGGGGTCACAAGGACATTGAGGGTGCTCACAGCTGTCTGTGGATCTGGGTTCCATTCCGTTGCCTAGAAGGAAATGTACAGCTCAGAGGGGGAGGATCTCCGGCCATGGCCTCAAAGCCTCGGCAGGGATGGCAGGGATTAAGAGGACGGGGAAGATAAATGAAGCCTTCTCACCGAGGCGTTGACATTCCAGGAGATAGTGGGCTGAGGATGTCCTGAAGCCTCACAAGACAGGTTCAGCACTGCGTTCTCCTGCACCCACACCTTCTTCTCCTTTAACGCCATCCACGGGGACCCTTGGGGGAGGGAAGGGTTAGACCCCCAAATCGCCCGCTTCTACTTTCCCACCACAGCTCTCAGGGTGCCAGCTGGTTTTTTTTTTTGACCTCCGACATCTCAAAGCCATCCAATTTGGGTTGATCGCTGTACAAAGGGCCTCACCAAAAATGCCCACGCTGACCAGCTGTGTGCGATTCAAGCCAGGAACACTAGGAACAGATGCCATGCAGAGATACTGTCCCCCTGTTTCCCGTTTCACGTTGTTTAGCTGGAGGTCAGGCCCCTTGCCCAGCAGCTGGCCTGTCTAGGGGTGAGAGGTAGGTCAGGGGGATCAGAAGGAGCAAGCTCGCACCAACAGTCTCAAGGCCATCTGTACCTTGTCTCTCAGCCACTCGAACTCAAGGTCCTGGTTACTCTCTGCCTCACAGGTCAATGTGAGGCTGTCGCCTTCCTGGGCTTCAGGGGCAGCTGGATTCACTCGAACATCAGACACATCTGGAGGCATAGCAAAAGTGTCAGCCTGGGCAGGCCCCCCCCAGATCCCCCTCGCCTCAGGCTGAACCTCACAGTTCACTAGCAGCTCCTGGGAGTCACTTGACAGGGTGATCATGGTTTCCAAGTCCAGGCTCTGACACTGGTAGAGCCCACTGTGCTGCCTCTGCGCAGGTTCCAAGACCAGGATACCGTTTTCATCGGTGGTCTCCTCCTCCATCTCCCCAGTGTTGGGGTTCTGGGGGAGGACAAGAGGGTAAGATGATACCCCTCCAGCTTCTGTGTCTGCCTCTTTGCCTGTGCCCTTGCACAACCTCCATGCACCCACCGTGGAGCCCTCCGAACCTGCTTGTTGATAGTGAAGTCGGGCTGTGGGTTGCCGTCCGTCAGACACCTGATTTTCACATGGTCCCCTTCCTTCAGCAGTCCCTCAGGCTCTACTTCCACCCACACTTTTTCTGCAGGGTCTGCGTGGGCAAAAGCAAAGGCTCTCAGCCCAAGGCTTGGCCCCGAATTTTATGCAGAGGGACCAGCAGAAGTTCCTACCAGGCCCATCCCCCAAAACCAGAGGAGCAAGTCAAGACTTACAGAAAACAGGAACAGTGACCTCCTTAGATTCCTTCATGTGGTTCCCACTGGGCAGCCGGTAGTTGAGTTCACAGTAAAATTGGGCTTCTTTGTCCTCCTTAACTAGCTGTGCCTTCAGAACACTCTGCAAGGTGTACAAGCCACTGGACTCCACAATCTGTGACGACTGAATCTGGACACCTGGGCAGGAGAAGGGACGCAAGACTTGGCCTCAGCACCCCTCCGTCCCCAACTTCTCCCGGGGATTAGCAGGGAGATCTCTAAGGCCCATAGCCAAATACAAACTAGTGCCCCTTCAACCCAGCACTTTTATTGCTTGTTATCTGCCCTAAAAAGACATTTACGCAGCCTGGCGGTGGTGGCGCACGCCTTTAATCCCAGCACTCACTCGGGAGGCAGAGGCAGGCGGATCTCTGTGAGTTTGAGACCAGCCTGGTCTACAAGAGCTAGCTCCAGGACAGGCTCCAAAACCACAGAGA